AAGCTGACGGCGTTGCTGGTCGTGTAGTCTTTTTGGCGCGTGACGTCGACAACAGTGTGTGGAATGGGAAAGTGTGTGTGGAGTGAACGGGTGAGGGCTGAGGGGTGCAGGGCAGCTGGCAAATTGCATTATTATGCGAGTGTCTGCAGTCTGCAGTCTGCCGTCTGCAGTGCAACAACAACAACGAACGGCTGGGGCAGTAGCACAACAAAAACAAATTGCAACAAAATACGCAAACAAAAACAAAATCGTACGATTGCTCCTCCTTTCGCCTGCCCACTTCCCTCTTCCCTTTCCTACTGCTGCTTCACTCAGCATTCTATGGCGATTAGGCGAACTGCACGCAGCAGTAAATAGTGAAACGGCTAGTGTGGTGAGCGGCGTGTGGGCGGGGTTGGACTGGGGCTGGGGCTGGAGCTGGGGCTGGGTGGCGGATTATTGGGGACAGACATTACATGCAGTTTTGTTCAAAAATTAATAGAATTTCATAAGCATTCAGCTCTGTCTGTCCCATTCGCATGTGTTGTGCATCGCTCTCTCTTTTTTTTCTATTTCGCTCGCTCGCTCGCTCGTTTGCTCTTTCTCTCTCTCTCTCTCTTGCGTTAGCGGCACCCATTGGCTTGCTCTCTTGCACGCTTGTGCCTGCTCGCTCTTTCAAATGTTAATTTGAATTTTTATTAGGTTTTAGGCTTTTATTGTTGTTGGCCAAAAACTGCTGCTACTGTTGTTGTTGTTGTTGTTGTTGTGTGTTTTATTTTCACTTAAAACTGCAATTGTTGCTGCCGCTGCTGCTGCCGCTGCCGCTGCTAGCGCTGACGCCGTTGTCAGCGTTGAAAGTGCGGCTGCGTTAGAAAATTGCATTTGACAATAGCTGCACACACACACACACGCAGAGTTGGTTTTTAGGTCGTGGGTTTGGTTTTTGGCCAGCCTCAAAAAAATAAATTTCTAAAATTTGCAAAGTATTTTTTTTAATTTTTATTTTGCACAGAGCTTTTCCTGTGTTCCCCAGCTCTTAACTGTCTAACTGTTAAATCTGTTAACTCTTTTTAAAGCCTAGGCATAAAAGAGTTCAGAACCTTGCAGTGAGTGCTGCGAACACTCAGCATGGTCTATAAGGTCTGTTTATGGTCCAGTTAAAAATAAATAATTGTTGCAAGTTTTGGCTTAGACAGTAAGGGTATTCTGTATTTTTAATTAAAGACAAGTGTAAATAAAATTACTATTATTATTATTAAATTTGACTGCTCCAAATGTGTGTTTTGCTGGCTCTTCCCCGACTATAAATTCGAATGTCAACGTTGATATTATCGCTCTATTACAATGCCTCGAGAAACGGCAAATCATCTTCTTGGAATAATGGCAACACGGTGCTCAGACTTCATAATCCCCTGAAGATCCATATGAGGAAAGCATTTCCACTGCTAACGGAAACTAAGTGCATTTCAATTTTCAACACGGATTTGCCATTGTGTTGCCTGGGCAAAATGTTGCCAACTCATGGCCAAGAAATGGAGGCGCCACTAAGAAAACAATTGTCCTTCCAGCCAGGCAGTTCTGCCTCTGCCTCTGCTTGTGCTGCAATTACCCATTTGCACCTGTGTGTTTGTGTTTGCCCAGCAATGGAAAAGTCATTGTCATTGGCGTCGATTCTGCAGCGAAATCTTCATTTACCGACGGCAATTGGCCTCGCGTTTTGGCCACTTTGAATTTTTCATGAGTATTCGAGGCGCTTCAAGAGTTATTTGGGGGCAGCTAATGGCTAACGACAAAGGCGTCTTCGGCACCCTTTTTTGCGGGCAATAAAAACATTTTCCTTTCGCTCTTTTTGGCCCGCAAAAATAATAATAATAATAATAATGAATAATATCAAGAAAAATACTTTTTATGCTTCTTCTTGTTTTGCTTGCTGCTGCTGTTGTTGTTGGTTAAACAGAAAACGCATTAAGTGCGCGGTTTTCCATTGTTTATAATATTTTTTGTTATTTCTGTTTTTGCTTTTTTTGTGTCCAGTCAAAATGGGGATAATTAAGAATGCTTATTTATCTAGAACGGCGACGAATGTGGCCCGTCGGCCCAGTCCTTGACCACAGCAGGGGGCATGCTTAGGTAGTTAAAAAAAGCTAAAAAGCCAAAAAAAGAAAACTTTTATTTTTTAATGATAAATTGTTTGAGGCCTTGCTAAAGACACTCACACACAGAGTGAGAAAGCGCCAGTCAAAGGTCAGATCTGTGTCCCCTTTCCCACTCTTTCTACTCTCTACTCTTTCTCCTTGGATGCTTTATTGCAAAATCAATATAGAATCAAGTAAAAGTGCTGAATTCGGGTGTGCCGGACGTGAAAATACCCCGTACCATATGACAAGCTGCTGTTTAGCTCTCAAATGAGAGCGGAGTATGGGGAAAAGTAAAGTGTATCTATGTATCTAATTATCGATTGGAATCGATTTAATGGAAGTGAACAAGTTATCGATAATTAAAAGCAGACTTAACCTCAGCGTGGCATAGAAAATATAGAATATATTGGGAAGACGTATCAAAAAGGTGACCGTCTTGATATTTAGGTCAACTCTAGTCGATTGCAAATTGGTTATCGACTAGAGTTGACCTAAATATCAAGAAATATCTTCTATATCTTCTATGGTAATGGTAAGTCTAAAAACAACTCAAGCCTTACTATCGATTTTTATCGAACTCAGGTAACTTGTAATAACTATCGATAATTGAAGCCAAAGTTAATGTCGGCGTGCTGTAGAAAGTGAGATTGGTAAGAGGAAGTCCTTGATAGTTAAATCTACTATAGATTAATCTAGCTCTATATACCTCACTTATTGCTGAATTGTAGCTCTACAAATTCTCTGAGATGTGCGAAATAGTTAAAGTCTTATTATCGATTTCATTGTTTTGAAGCTTGTTTGAACTTCCCTCGCATAGATCGGGGCGATCTGCAGACAGATGCACTGAACTCGATCACATCAACAACCGTCGATTCTCTTCAGGAATACGTATACACCTTAAGGCTTAGCCACGCCCACTTCCGCCTGTCACATGCATTCTCTCATAAATATGATACCCTGTTTAACGCACTGTCAAGGAGTATATGCGAAAAAGAACTGAACCATTACCTCGTCTTCTAACCGAATTCTTTTACTAATTAGCTACGCAACTTGGTGAGTTGCAAATTACAAGCGGTACGCGGGATTGAAGCACTTCTAAAATTGTTGTTGCTGTTGTTGTTGTTGCAAAAGTTGCCTGTGGGGCACGCAAATCACTTGTTTTTTGTGTAATTAGTTGGCTCACTTCAGGGCAATGGTTAGCGACGACTGCTGCAAACCCAAAAGCCAAACTCAACTTTGACTTTGAAGCGTAATTAACCGAAAACCGATCGCTGGCTTACAACAAGAACAACAACAGCAACAACTACCGCAACATACTGTGGGCCGCACCGTTTTTTTTTTTTTTTTTTTTTTGGTTCAGCCCTCAGCCTCCGTTTGTTAGAGAATTCGCTTGGAAATCTTCTCGTTCAACGACCGATAAAATTAACTCCAACTCTCCAAATCTTCCAGCGGCTAAGGCTCCCCTCCCCCCTTTTGGCGTCTTGGCTGCTGCCTTTTAGCGGGTTATTGATTATTAATATATTTTTTTTGGTTTCCCAAACATTTTTTCTCTAATTTTTTGTTTTTTTGTTTTAGCATTCGCTGTAATTACAGCAACGCGTTAATTGTTCAACTCCTCTGCATTCTTTTTGGTATTTTGAGGGCTTTAACTATATACTTCTGTTTGCTGGCTCGAATGTTTTCTCTATTTGTATTTGCTTTTTGTTGGCCCGAAAAAACAACATTAGCCGGGGCGAGAAAACTACACTTACGCAGCATCGGCAGCATCGGCAGCAGCAGCAGCCGCAGCAGCAGCAGCCGCAGCATCCGTATCTCGACATCCATTATCTACCATTACCATCATTGTCTCTACCATTACCATTCCGCCCCCCTACCCTTTCCCGCCAACAACTAACTGCTAACTATAGTTGGCTAAAACTGTGAAGGGCTAAGAGCTGAGCTGCTTATTAAATACGAGAATTGCTTCGATTTGATTGATGAAATGCAAATGCAAAACGCAACTCAACCCGAAGAACACAAAATATGCTCTAAAACTAGATTCCGAACTGTATAACACTTATCGATCTGAATGATCACCTTTGTATATCTTAGATATATTATAATTTATTTTGCTTTAAGCTTGAATCGAATAATTTGTGAACTTCTAGTTCAAGGAAATTTATATTTTAATTATATATGATTAAAAAAAATTAAAAATTTATAAGAATTTATATTTAAGAATTTATATTTATCTGTAATTTAACTTTATCTGTATAAATAATCTACAACTTTGAATCCATAACATTGAACTCAAACTTATCTTTGATAAAAAATTACCATTTTTCTAAATTAAAAATTTTTGAATTTTCAACATTTAACTGAAACTATAAGCCAAAATCTATTCTATTTTTTAATAAGTCCATAACTGAAAAATTCAGAACACGTTCAAAATTTTAACTAATTATATCGAAAGCCCATAATATGGCTAGATCTATCTGTAGAGTATGTCAACTCACATACACCTGGAGAAATTAATGAACTTAACTCTAGAATGGCTTGTCAATCTATCTCTCATACTTATCGGGTGTATATATAATATATATAAGTTTATAGAGTAGGATTTCTAGCATAAAACCTACGAGTTACCTACGATCAATCGCTCCCCAATAGGTATGTCTAATTAAACTTTAAATATTTTTTTATAACACGAACTCTAAGTCGAGAATATGAACTTGGGAATTGGTCTATATGTCAAACTTTAGTCTTATGCTTCAAAAGTTGGATATTATATAAAAGTAATATAACATCTACTTTTACAGATCGAGAGCTCAAATTTGTTTGTATCTCAAAAATATATTAAAAAATTTCTTAAATATGTAAAACTTTCTGTAAATAAGGACTTACCAAATGCAGTTAGTTAAATTTACTAAAGTTAACTCAGATTAGGATCGTCAATCCTTCTGAATGGTTGATATTTCTTTTATGTTTGTGTCTTTTGCTGCCGCACACAGCATTCAATTAGAAAAATCACGAATTTGAAAACTTTTTCAATGCGAATTTCGAATTTTTGTATGTTTATTTGTTGTTTTGTTTTTTTTTTTCTTTTTTGTTTATGTATGTTTTGGGGGAGGCTGGACGTGTAAATTTGTTGGTCGATTTAGAATTTAGAATTTCTGTGGAGGCGCCTTTTTTTGTTGTTTTAGGGATGCACAAAACACCGCAAACTGCAAAAATTGAAACGAAGCCAATCAAAATCAATGAGGGGGGCCACAGTGCAGCACAGACAACAACAACAACTGCAATAGAATGAACGAACAGCGGCTAAAGCAAAGTAACTGTAAAAGATGACGCTCAGCGCAGTGCATTTATGCGCTCTGATTTTGTTGTGATTTTATTGTTGTTATTTGTTTTTTTTTCGCTTTTGCTTTTGCTTTTGGGCTCTGTGTGTGATTTTCGCTTTTATTAATAAAATGCACAACTTCCGTTATTAATTTTGCAACAGCAGCAATTGTAGTCTATGTGCGTGTGTGTGTAAGTGTGTGAAGTACGGACGACAGCTACAATAGCAACAACAATTGCAAGCGTTGAGCGCGATGTGTCACCAAGGCGCTCGCATGGGGGAATCGCATTCGAAATCGAAATTCGCAATCGAATTGCATACGGTATATAAACAATTGACAGGGCTGTAATAAGAGGGCACCGGCCACTGAGCCGTCTAGGCTCTGTGTAACTGACAAGGCGCGGATTACGCTGCTGCTGCGCTCCTGTGCACGCGACGCTGTCGCCGCTGCCGTCGCTATTGCTGTTGCTGTTGCTGCTGCTGCATTCATTCATAAAAATCAGGTTGTAAAAAAGCAAAAACAACGCTGATTTTTATTTATTTATGCCAATTTGCCGCTGCTGTTTTGTCTGTGTGTGTGTGTGTCTGCGTGTTATTATGATTCTTTTTGCTGTTGCTGTTGTCATCGACTGATGCGGTTGTTGTTGTTGTTGTTGTTTGCCTAGCCGCAGGAGGCGAATTGTCACTGATTTTAGTTGTTTATTTTGATTATTGTTTTCGCCTGCATTTGTGGCACGAATTGCAAATAAATTATCACTTGAACTATGCACATGTGGCATGTGCATTAAATTATTATTTGTAGCTAAAACGCATTTGATTGCTTTGATTGTATTTTCGAGCACTACAGATATATCGTTCGCGTCAATTGCATGTAATTGTGAATGAATTGTAATTGAAATGATTATCCAATTGCAAAGCCACTCGGCCAGCCGGACTTGGCCAAGAAACCAAAACAAATCACAAATAATAAGTGAAAATGAGCCGCACTTAAACCACGACACCTGCTGCCCGTCTGATTGCTGGAAATGTACTGAGAACACCCGCGTAATTTTTTTTACTTGCTCTTGCGTCGTCTTGTTGGACTTGCTTCGGCAAACACGTTCGGTTCGGTTCTCCGAGCAAACACATCAAACCAAAACTGGTTGCAAGCGAACTAGTGCCGAACCGAAGCCGATGTTCGATGAGAATAATTACATTTAACAGAAAAATGTTAATAAGTGGATCATTCTCTGAGGCTTAAAACCATTCAATCAAAAAGTAATTGAAGATTCAGAGTTTTCGAGCAATAAATATTAATAGTAAATTTTATTTTTATATAATTAATAAGAAAATATAATATGCAGCTAACTTGGCAATATGCATTCAGCTCCAAAAGTTGTTTATTCATATTTTTGATGGCTTACAAGAAAATCTTTAACATACTGTTAACTATTTGTTTGGCGCTCAGGCTGCCATGCAACATCAAACATGCTCGATGCTCGATGCTCGACGCTCACAACTGATGTACTCTAACTGCCTTAGTGGTCCAGCCAAAACATGATGTACTCAAACATGTGCTATGCAAATCGTACTTATTGGCAGGTGTTTCAAACTAAGCCTGTTACTATAAATATGTTATAAAGGATTATACTAGTTTCTAATATTAATATTTAATACATTTCTAATATTTAATAAATTGTTTTATTCATACTTATTTACGTATATATGTACATAATCATCTTAATAGCGCAAATAACGTCATCAAGATACACACAAGTATTTAAATAAATTTATAATCACAGCGCTCCGTACATAACATAAACGATATAAATGTTTATAAATAAAACAAGTGAGCAAAATGCAGATACAGCTCTATGTGTGTGTGTGAGCATGTATAAGGTTGTGTGTGTGTGTGAATTAATAAGGTGTGAGACCAAACGCTAATCTTATTAAATAACAAAGCCATTCAAATCTCAAATGTGTTTTATGATGAAAATATTTTTCATCACCAATTGATGAACAGTTGAAAAAATACTATCATTAATAATATAAATATTAAAATATTCAATAAAATATTCAATATTTGGAACATATCAATATGTTCCAAAGCAAGTACTATCAAAATCGTGAACCTCCCACGATCTTTCGATTCTTTTTTTGACAATTTGTGTCGGGAATGGAAACTGAAATGAAATAAATGTACAGAAAACACTTTTGTTGTTGCGTGCTATAAAAATATAAAATTAAAGCAAGACAGCCAAGAAAGCAAACACACGAATATTTTAATAATAATTAGAGTATAGATAAAAAATAGCAACAACAACTATAAACGAAAGACAAACGCGTGAAATGAGTAGCAGCATCAAACAAACAAAACACAAGTAAGAGTGCTCTAGTCGGGCATGCTCGACTAGCAGCTACCCTGCAGCCTGCACGAAGCTGCTGCTTTACTTATACTTTGCTTCACACAAACACAAGAGCTCATGCACACACACACACACAACGTTATGCGCTGGACGCGCTTGCTCTTCCCAGAAATCCCACAGCAAGGCAAATCTGTTCTTGAGTAACTTGACTTCTAGCTGTTCGATCTTAATGAAACTTTCAGGGCATATAGGTGACATTGAAATGTTTGTGTAAACCAAAGCAGAAAACTCTAGGCTCTTTAGTAAATTTAGTGTGTTCCAATTTGGGAAGATTAGCTAAAAGTATACAAAATTGTAATCACATATTCAATTCACATATTCAATATTTGGTACATCTAGACTTAAAGTTCTTCAAGTTATGTTAAATGATGATCGATTTTTATCGATATTAAGAAACCTTTTGTTCTTTAGGCAAGAGAGAGATAGGCAAATAGACTAATCTGTCTACCTATTGCACAAATCAGTATACCCTTTAAAGCCGTTTTCAATTGCTTGAGGGTATCAAAAAAATATGAACAATAATTATACACGAAATAACAAAGAAAGAAAACACAGAGACATTATAGAGGCAAGATCATATGAGCTGCCCACTTTATATAAATGTCGAGCTTTCTACAATATTTATAAAAATAAAATTCCACACCCACCCACACACACAGGAGAAAATGAATTTAAGAAAAGTACTAACAGACCAGAATCGACCCTATCGAGGGAGTAGCGTCACCCCACTGCCCCGCTGTCCCGCCTGCCCCGACGCTGATAAAAATAAAAATTCAAATGTCGCCGGCATCAATAAGATATAAATTAAACGTGTACTACAATACCGAATGTTAATTAGAAACTCACGTTGGGAATGCTTTCGATCTACCCACTCCCCTTGCTCCACAGACCATAGAGCATAGAGCATGGAGCATAGAGCGGAGCCCATTCCATTGCTCTCAGACTCTATGCTCGGATGCCAGCGTTCGACATGCTGTCGTGTATCTATTAGATACATTTAGCCGCTCTATGTGATCGGACTTCCATTGGAGTAGATCGAGATATGGCAGATGGCAGATGGGGCTCTGGAGCACTCCAACGACAATTTGATGTTTTTAGACTTTTCGAGTGTTTGCTACACCTAAAATTTTATTTTGTTCCCTGTCACAGTTTAGCTTTTGCTCGATACCCACTGAAATTGGTGTAAGCAGGGTATTATGTTTGCCTGAAGGAGCTGCGTCAGACATCGTAAGTATTTATATATATATATATTCTTGATATCTACCCGTCACTAATCCTTTCATTCCTACCTTCGTCTGTTTGTGTCTATTAGCTCATCGACCTCGATAAATATTCGAGTTTAAAACTTGAATTGAAATTGAATTTGTTTTAAATAGTCGATAACTTTTTTCTTTTACTTGCAATCGATTTAAATCGATATCAAATTGCAGTTAATTGCGCATGTCTTGCCAGCTTGAAGGCTACAGTAACCGAAACCAGTGCATAAATAGGATCCATGACAGATTATATATCAGAGTAACTCCCAGTTGACCGCCGCAGTTGTTCGCTTTGGTAAGGCAACTTCATCGCGGTATATTGTAGTCGGGCACTGCCGCCTGGAAGTGTCTTCCTTGTCTTTTCCTATTTAAGTAGTGGGAGGAAAACTTTATTTATGCCACCTCATGAGCTTAATGACTTCCTGCAGCAGCTAAAATTATATTCCAAAGTAGAACAATTATTGTCAGCAGCAAATGCTTAAAGATTTCTTGAGCTGGACGAAATAAGATGTGAGTAGTGTATATTGAAAGATGATATTATTATTAGCACTATACAAACATTGGAAAGTTTTCAAAAATTATTAACTAATTGGAATTACTTTGAGCTCGAATTGCTCAGACTGGGTCAGCCTGATAACTTTCAGATCTGTTAAAAATAGGCTTCAAATAGGGGAATCTTATGTGGACTATGCAGCTATATATAGCAATATATCCATATATATACGTGCGTATAGGAATAATGATGCTGGTCGTTCGATCTGTTGTACTAAAAACACGCACGGCAAATGACATTTCATTTATCTTTCGAAAGAAAGTGGAGGCGTCGTTGACACCGCTGGGCGGGGGCTGCAGATGGAGATGGTGGGGCTGCGTATGAGTTATTAATGCCTCGACATTGTACAAAAAAACAAAAAAAAGAGATTTACATGAGGGCTTCAGTTTTTCAAGCTTTGCAGTTCCGGTGTACCGAGCGCTGCGGAGTTATCAGTGTGAAAAATAGAAACATGATTATGAAATTATCGAAACGCGTGTTCATAGAGCGCTGCGCGAGCAGAGTGCAATAGCAACAGCGAGCGCTGCCCAAAGATGCTCTAGAAAATGGGTGGCGCTTTCGTCAAAGTGAAATTACGCCTCGGCATTAGATTGGATGGAATTATGCTCGTGTAAACGAGCAATCAGCCAACGGAGGCGCAATTAAGACCAACGCGTGAGTGTGTGCGTCTGTGTGTGTGTGTGTGTTTGCGCTATCTACCTACCTCTACACCTATGTACATACAAACGCAACAACCTGACGCGGCCTACACAAGCAGCAGCTCTCAATAAAAACATATGTGTGTGTGTGTGTGTGGACAATAGAAACGATCGAGACATTCAACATGTACACACACACACACACATGCATACAGCTAAAGACGAACATCGCCGCGACGCGTCGCTCACCTTGCGGCGACGTCAAACAACACAAAAGCGAGCGCGCGTAAGTGCCAACGGGTGTGAGCGAGCGAGAGCGAGGCAGAGAGAGAGAGCGAGCGCAGCGAAAGAGCGAATAAGGCAAAAGGCAAAGGCAGCTTTTGATTTGCGCTCACGTTGATACACGAACCATGAATTTAATTATGATTAAAAAGAAAGAAAAAATTGTATTTTCATCAAACGCACGCAAATAGATATATAAGTGTGTGCGTCTCTGTGTGTGTATGTGTGTCTGTGAGTGTGTGGTGGTTTATGTACATACATTACATATGTAAAATAACTTGGGAAGAGTCTAGAAAGATATTCGCCTCAACTTGAGTACTCGCCGTGACAGCGTGCATGTGCGTGTGAGTTTGCGTGTGTGCATGTGTGCAAGTGTGTGTGTGTGTAGTAGCAGTGTATGGCTTTTCTATTGTAGCTACGAATTAAGTGCCGCTAGCTCAGTTTCGCTCTCAAAATGGTGTCGATCATATTGAACAAGTTCCATATTTGGGTACAGTTGTGCCTGAGCCCACAGCGTAATCTACGCTTGAACTTGGACATACTTTCGAGTTGAGTCAAGAACTGTATTTCTCTTAAATGTATTAGCATAAAGACAAAGGCCATAATAATAACTAAGTTTGCTAACTGATTGCCAAATATGGCGTTGGGCTTCAATTGGTCGAATTTCTTATATGGTACGGTTAGGGTAAGCTCATTGAGTCGTGGATGGACTGGAAGCACCAGCCCATCCGGTCAGTTGGTATGATCCTCAGCAGTTGCCCTTTGACCTGGATTCAAAGTCAGCTGCTGAAGAGTTGAATGAACTCGGAGCACAGAGCTCAGAGCAGTGTTACCAGATCTTAGTCTATGTTAATTAGCTCGACATAAACGGGGTTCACC